AGTGTGTCTGTGCTTGCCTGGGGAAAGACTGGCCCCATGGTCTCTAGGGTGGAAGTTCTCCAAGTGGGGTCCCTGGACCAGCATCATCTCCTGAGAACTTGTTAGAGATGTCCATGTCCAGGTTCCAAATCAGAAACAGTGTGGGCTGCAAGGATCCCTGCTCTCCTGAGCCTCTGAGTGATCTTGATGCTAAGGAGGTTTGTTCTTGGGGGAATCCCTTTTTTTTTTCCTTTAAATTAAGTTTTAATGTACAAAGTAATAGGCTTCCTGAAGGCATTTTCATACATATATCATTGTATTTTACTCATATTTAGCCTTTATTTCCCATTATCCCCTCTTGTTAATCCCTTTCCTTCCCCTTGTTGGACCATCTTTTGCTTTAATTTTACACACGAGTGTGCATGCACACATGCGCACACACACAGAGTTAAATCTAGATTCCACATATAGGCAAGAACATTTAACATTTGTCTTTTTTTCTCCTGCTGTTTTAGTTTTATTTCTGTGGCTGCGATAAAACATCCTAAGAAAAAGCAACTTGGGGAAGAAAGAGGCTGATTTGGCTTCCAAGGCCACAGTATGATCCCTCAGAGCAGGGAATGCATAGTGGCATCCACACTCAAGAGCAGAGAGAGAGAAAGACTTGTGGGCTTACTGCTCAGCCTGTCTTCTCTACTCTTCTACAGACCAGGACCCTAAACCAGAGAATGGTGCTGCGCATGCTCAGTCTGAGTCTTCCCACATCTCTTCAGGCCATCAGTGAAGGGTTTAAACTTTCCCACTTTTACAACTGAATTTAGGTTTCAGTTCTCTGGGAGGGGCAAACAGGTGTCTCTCCCAACAAAGGGTCATTTATCAACAAATTACATTCGGGGATGAGGGAGAGAGCACGAAAAAGGTCTAAGTCAGTCGCACAAAGTCGCAAGGACAGTTCCTTCACCCCCCTTAAAACTTACCCAAGTATGTCCAAAGATAAAACCACAGCCAGTTAAAACTATACTCATGTGCCTGCTGCTTGCTTGACCAATTATGTTGAAGATGACCTAGCTGTTCCTGAAATTCCTCTAGCTGTGACTAAAAGGAGCTTGCACGCCCCCACCCCCTCATGGTTGTCGCCATTTTGTACAGGTGAACAACTCCGCATATCCTGGCTGCTTCTACAGAACAAACGCTCTTTGCTTTTATACTATTTGAGTCTGGGGTCTTCCTTCAGTGTTTTCTCGGACCCTACCCAGTCTTCCCACATCGCTTAAGGCCATCAGGACAGCTCCCCAGAGACGTGCTCGCATGTTAGCCTGATCTAGACTGTCCTTCATTGAGTGTCTCTTGCCAGGTGATTCTAGACGGCGCCATGTTGACGCAAGCTAACCTTCACACCCAGCCATTACTCTCTCTTGCACCTCCCCACCTTCCTTTGCATCCTTTCTTCCTCCCACAGAGTCCCTCTCCTGCTTCTGTGCCATATGCCCTTTTCATCCCTTTTCCTCCAAATGACATGATTTCATTCTCCTTTGAGGCTGAAACAATCATGCGCATGCTCCCCATTTTCTTCATTCTGCTGTTGATGGACACGTAAGCTGCCTCTGAGTCTTTGCTGTAGCGAACAGGGCAAGAATATACCTGGATGTGCCAGCTCTCTCTGGTATGTGGGTACAGCATCCTCCAGGAACACACCTGGAGTGATCTGGCTGGGTCTTCCTGTTGTTCGAATCTCAGTTCTTCGAACAGCCTCCCTCCCGACTTCCACAGTGGCTGCACCGGTTTGCATCCCCAACCAGCAGTGTGCCCACCATTCTCTCATCCGTGCCAGCGGCTGTGGTGATGGGTACAGTTTGCTCTCTTGACGACAGCCATTCTGACCAGGGTTAGGTGGGATCTCAGTGTTGTTTTAATTTACATCTTAGAGGGAATCCTCAAGAAGAAAAAAGAGGACTAATTTAGAATCCTTAAGTCTTACTCTTGTAAAAATATCTTAACAGAAACCAGATGGGTGAGAGTCTGTGGTTCCCCATCCTGGGCAGACACCAGGATTACCTGGGGATTTAACAGGGACTGGTCTGGTCCCACCCTTAGAGTTGCTGACTCCTTTGGATGGGATTTGACCTGGGCGCTATTGGTCTTGAGGATATTAATGGGAAGGAATGCTTAGATCAGTAGTTCTCAACCTTCCTAACGCCATGACCCTTTAATACAGTTCTTTTGTGGTGGTGACCCCCCAACCATAAAATTATTTCTTTGCTATTTCATAACTGTAATTTTGCTACTGTTACTAATTGTAATATAAACATCTGCTATGTGACCCCTATGAAAGGGTCATTTGATCCCCGAAGGGGTTGTGACCCACAAGTTGAGAATCACTAGCTTAGATGAACAATCAGCAAGGCAACATGAACTTCTGAGGACAAGTTGATGCTCTAGGGGAAAAAAAAACAAGGAAGGCCTTGAAGGGTGTCTTAGTTAGGGTTTCTATTGCTGTGAAGAGACACTGTGACCATGGCAACTCTTATAAAGGAAATAATAAATGTTTCACTGAGGTGGCAGCTTACAGTTCAGAGGTTCAGTCCATTATCATCATGTCAGGGAGCATGATGGCATGCAGGAAGACATGGTGCTGGCCACATCTTGATCAGAAGGCAACAGGAAGTGGACTGTCTGTCACACCAAGTGAAGCTTGAGCAAAAGAGACCTCAACGCCCACCCCCACACTCACAGTGTGACACTTCCTCCAACAAGGCCACACCTCCTAAGAGTGCCACTCCCTTTGGGGACCATTTTCTTTCAAACCACCACAGAGAGGAACTTTGAGACAAATGGAAGAGAAATTCTATCTTGGGTCCTCTTTGAATACTGGTAAAGTAGCAGCCCATGGAAGAGATTAGTGTACACTTTCTACCAAAGAAATGGTAAGAGTGAAGTAGCTGTGCTTCATGAATGAAGAGCTATTTGTGGTTGGTTTTACTGTCTTAGGGGAAAATGATATTCTCTAGGGAGCTTCTTTTAGAATACATTTCTATGCTAAGAATGTAATCCGGGGGCTGAGGAAGTAGTTTAGCTGGTAGACTGATCCCAAGCACAACATAAAAGAAGCATGGCAACACACACCTCTAATCAGCATCAGGAGGTGGAGACAAGAGGATCTAAGTTCAAGATCATTCTTGGCTACATAGTGAATTCTGGTCCAGCCTGGGCTACATGAAACATGAGAATGAGAGAAGAGAAAGATGGAGGGTTATTGTGGAGAACAAGACGCCTTGTGTCTCTTGGCCTCTCGGCCCTCCATTGGCTTTGCTCTCCCTCTGGTCTGGTCACCTGGCTGTCCCTAAGTATGTTCACTCTGTTCCCATGGTGAGGTATCTGTCCCTGACTCGGTCTAGGAAGGTCTATCTCCTTCTAGACTCCTCCCTGGCTTCCTGGTCTGGATAGCAGCCTGTATCGTCACCTTGCTCAATTCCCTTTGCTTTTTCTATCCCCATTCTATGCATGTCCCATCTCCACCCTTGACTGTAGGCCACCAGTAGGCCACCACAGCTTATACCTGCTTCCCTGATGCCCTGAACAACATCCCACATGCTAGCTGCTTAGGACATGGTGAACTGTGTCAATGGACTCAGGCTTCTTTCTCCTCAAGTTATCATAGATACAGAGAAGGAGGGGCTACCCTGAGTGGTGGGTAACTGTGGCTTGGCTCTCGGGGGGTTGTGTTTGAGGGAAGGAAGCCTAGAGCAATGGTTTTCAACCTGTGGGTAGCAACCCCTTTGGGGTAGAGCAACCCCTTCACGGGGATCACCTAAGACTATTGGAAAACACAGATTTTTACATTACGATTCATAACAAAAGCAAAGTTACAGCTATGAAGTAGCAACAAAATTGTTTTCTGGTTGGGGGTCACCACAACATGAGGAACTGTGTTAAAGGGTCTCAGCCTCAGGAAGGTTGAGAACCTCTGATGCAGGGGCTTTCTGCAGCCTTTGTTTTGTGGCTCTACCACTCCACTCTGTGTCTCTGATTGCTACCTCCTCCTCCCCCTTTTCAGATTTCTCCCTGCTTCCCTCCTGTAGAGATACCCGTTTGCCAAGAAGGCCACACTGCTGATCCAGCACAGCCATGGCTGCCTTAGTCCACCTGCAAAATCCTTCTGTATCTAGAAAACACCATTCCCACATTTCATGCGTAGGATCAGGATTTCTCTGAGAGAATCATTCTTCAGTCTACCCTGTACACCCCGATACCTTGTATTTCCAAAGAGGGGAGACTTGTCCAGGGCCACACCTCATTGGCATGGTCAAAATAAAAATTCAGTTCTCTCTCTCTCTCTTTTTTTTTTGGTTTTTCGAGACAGGGTTTCTCTGTGTAGCTTTGCGCCTTTCCTGGAACTCGCTTTGGAGACCAGGCTGGCCTCGAACTCACAGAGATCCGCCTGGCTCTGCCTCCCGAGTGCTGGGACTAAAGGCGTGTGCCACCACCGCCCGGCCTCTTTTTTTTTTTTTAATCAATCTCAGGCTGATATCACAAAAGAAAGATAGGAGTGGTGTGTGTGTATATGTGTGTGTGTGTGTGTGTGTGTGTGTGTGTGTGAGAGAGAGAGAGAGAGAGAGAGAGAGAGAGAGAGAGAGAGAGAGAGAGAGAGAGAGAAAAGTCAGATGGACTTGAACCTCGGATCCTACAGCCTTGAAAGTTGAGACTGCAGCCTTGCACCATACATGCAGTTTATGTGCTGCTGGGGATGTGACCCAGGGCTTCTTGGATGCTAGGCAAGCCCTGTACCAACTGAGCCATGTCCCCGTCCCCAAAGACAGAATTTTACATGACACTTGACCCCCGCCTCAAGCGTTTCCTCCCTTGGTCTGCCTCTGGAACTCTCCATCAGCCTTCACCTGCCACAAGGCCTTGTTTGCCCCCTTGAGTCCTGGTGACCCGTCGGGGTCACCAGAGGATATAGCTAGTCCCATCTAGGTGCTGCCCTGATCTGGCTTAAGTGGAGTTTTCTTGTCTCCTTCTAGGACCGCCTCTTCTTCGTCATGGAGTACGTCAACGGTGGAGACCTCATGTTCCAGATTCAGCGGTCCCGAAAATTCGACGAGCCCCGTTCCCGGTTCTATGCTGCAGAGGTCACGTCTGCTCTCATGTTCCTCCACCAGCACGGTGTGATCTATAGGTAGCCTCTTCTCTCTTCCCCCTTCTAAGAACAGAAGCAAAGACTCTCTAGACACTTGCACTCCCTCCGGTCCTTGCCCAGCTGGTGTCCCAGCAGCTGGCTTTAGCTTAGCTGTTAGTTCCAGTTTGCATGCAGAGGACTGGGGTGGAGGGTGGGGTGGGGGTGGGGGTGCTGCTTATCACTATGAATGTTAATATTTGAAAGGCCCCAGGAGATCTGACCAACTGTTTGTGCCCGTTTTGATTTAATGCTCAAGCGTGACATTTCAAGTCTTGACTCTGATCTTGAGGCAAGCTTCACCCCTCGGGTCTCCTCCACCCTCTTCCTCGAACATCAGGGCATTCTCTTCTTGTCTTCTTCCTCCTGTGCCACGAATTTCCCCCACTTCCTGATCTCTCGGCCTTTCCTGAGTTTGTTTGGCTTAGCTGTCTCCAGTCCATAGACTCTGGGAAGGAGGAGTCCTGTGGAGGGCTGGAGGTTTATGCTCGGGGGTAGGGGTGGGGAGTGGGAACTAAACATTATCCAACAGGAAGTGACTTTTTTCAGATTGTCCAGTCCTTTATTTATTGCTGGTAGCCCAGTCCCCTTCCAGCATACCACACACACACACACACACACACACATACACACACACACACACACACATACACACACAAGTTTTCCAGTAAAAAAGCAAAACTCTTTTTCTGTGAGGTCAGGAATTCTTGGGGGGGGGAGTAAATATTTAAAATTAGCAACAAGGATACTGAAGTTCTGAATGTTTTTTTCAGTGACTGTCCATTTCTTTCCTCGGTCTTTGCTTCCTCCCTTGCTAAATCTTGGGTGGTAGAGGAGCTGCTTTGGCTGAGGCCAGAGTTAGGCTCTCCCCTCAGGATATCTGACCTGTTCTGGGAGCAATGGCTGCACTCTGTTCTCTGAAAGGTTCTGGTCAAGCTCACCCCAGGCTTCCCTCCCTTCTGCCATTCTCCAGCTTCATAAAGCCGGGGTGGGAATAGGGGTGGGAATAGGGGTGGGAATGGGGGTAGGGTGGGAGTACTCAGTGCTTCCCTGCAGATCATACTCTAGATCAGTGGTTCCCAACCTTCCTAATGCTGCCACCCTTTAATACAGTTCCTCATGTTGTGGTGACCCCCCCCAACCATACAATTATTTTCATTGTTTTTAAATAACTGTAATTTTGCTACTGTTATGAATTGTAATGTAAATATCTGATATTCAGGATATCTGATATGTGACCCCTATGAAAGGGTCATCCAAAGCCCACCCCACCCTCAAAGAAGCCGTGGCCCACAGGTTGAGAACCACTGAATAGCCTGTCCTCTGGGGATCCATGTCTGTGTTTCGTGTTGCTGTCTGGCCCATACCACACAGCCTTGGAGTCTAGGAACATCCCCTACTCATTATTCTCAATCATGTCTGCTGCTCAGCGTCTCGCCGCCATGCTGTGGTGGAGGTGGCAGCTAAGTCAACTTCCCATCTGAAGTCCGGGTGCTTCTAAGATCATGTGCTGATTGACAGAATTTCGTTCTCAAAACTTTAGAGTTGATGAGGCTTGTTTGAGGCCAGCTGGAGAGAAGGGTTTACCTTCTCAGACCCTCCAGCCTCAGAGAAGGACTAGAGCCTCTTCTCAAAGGCTCGTGGGCCACCTAAGGTGACAACCCCTTTGATAAACTCAGAGGCAAGTTTGAGTATAAGATCTTTATGTCTACCTTGGACATCGGTGGACATGAGCCCGAGATTTTTAGAACAGCTTGGACAGGACAGCCTCTTAAAAAACAATGCCACGCCTCTGCCACACAGTGTGTCATCACCAGTGACATCAGATTGTCTTTGTTGTGTTGTTTAGAAGTAACTCACAAGTTTACCAGCTTGGTGGGGGAAGGGAAGGGAACATACAGAATGTGGTTCCCTGGGGGTCACCTTCAGTTCCGTTGGCTGCACCTACCACTGGTCATGTGTACAAGGTTTAAACTAGTAGTTCTCAACTTGTGGGTCACAGGGGTCACATGTCAACTATCCTGTATATCAGATATTTACAATTCATAACAGTAGCAAGATTACAGTTATGGAGTAGCAACAAAATGATTCTATGGTTGGGGGGTCAGCACAACATAGGGAACTCTGCTAAAGGGTTGCAGCATTAGGAAGGTTGAGAACCACTGGTTTAGACCATTGTGTGGACACTTCACTAAAGTGCAAGCGCTTCTAAGGGCCATTTTTTTTTTTTGTCTTAAACCTGTAGTGCTTTTTAAATTCTTACACTATATGTTCTTGTGCACAGTTCATACTCACGTTGACATTTATAATCTGTTCCTCGGGTAACTGACTATCTTCTTCACTGTTCTGTGGCTGTGAAGAGGCACCATGACCATGGCAACTCTTACAAAGAAAAGCATGTAACCGGGGTCTTGCTTACAGTTTCAGAGACTTAGTCCATTATCATCATGGTGGGAGAGCATGGTGGCACACATGGCATGGGAGCTGTAGCTGAGAGCTTTACATCCTCATCTGCAGGAAGGCAGAGAGAGAGAGAGACAGAGACAGAGACAGACAGACAGACTAGGTGGGGTGGGGTGGGGTGGGTTTGATACCTCACCAGCAACACTTCCTCCGACAAAGGCACACCTACTCCAACAAGGCCACACCTCCTAATCCTTCCCAACACTTCACCAACTGGACACTAAGCACGCAAATTTATGAGCCTGTGGGGGCTGTTATCATCCAAACCAGCACACGTGGGAACTACAGCTCTAGAGAAATTCCCTTCTGCCTTCAGGATAATGACCTGTACCCCAGCTTCACGCAGCCATCCTCCCTTCCAGCCTGCTGCAGTTTTATGCTTCTCCTAAACAAGATAGTATCTTTCCAAGTGATGTGTTTGGCAGATCCCTGTGCTGCTGACCTTGTCCCTGTCTCTTGGAGGTGCACACGAGAGTGTGTTTATGTGGGGTGGCACAGGACAGCACTCTTCTCATTGATGGTATTCAATGCATGCTTTCTGCTCCGGCATGTTCTGTTCTAGAACTATCCAGTCTGGGACTTGCTGCTCCATAAGGCTGTAGTTCCCGAAAGTCTCTGTTTGAAGCATTCCTGACATACACTTTTTTTTTTTTTGTTACTCTGAAGGCCACCTCATTCCTTTTTATGTCTTATAGTACAGATTCAGGAGGACCAGGGGATCGGTATGCCCCATGTTGCCTTCATCCCAAGCTGCCAGCAGAACGGCTGTCAAGGGTTTGAGTCTGAGGTTGACACAGAGAGGCTGTGAGTGTGCGTCCTTGCTCCTGCCCGTTCTGATGCTGAATAGCCGTTGTACTGTGGGTGATATCATGGTGGTGGGAAACAGGGGTCTCTATGGCAGATAGGCAAGGCCAGGCTGCATGGATTTCACTGTTAAAGTTAAGATGGTTTTCCATCTTTCCCACTGGAATTTTTATGTACACTAATTAGTAGCGAATCGGCTAGGATTCAGTAAGTAAGGGAAGGGGTCACTTCTCTAGCCAGTGGCTAGTACTTAAAGCCCAAGTTGATAGGCACAGCTGCCTTTTCCTCTAGTCCCTCTTAGACACAGGCTCTCTACCCCAGGGGACACAGGGCACTCACCAGGTTTAAACAGTGAGATAGTGTAAAACTTAAATGTTTTTTAAATCAGATATGAATACAGATAAAGCAGCAGACAGCTCTGTAAGGTGTTTAGACAAATAAGTTTCTTTCTATTCTCCTTCTAAAATAGCTTCTACTGTCAACTTCCTTAGTTTTTACTGCATTCCTCTGTACTTTTGGATGGGATTATTTTCTTGTCCCTGGGCTGTATTTTAGGTATTATCTATTGACTTGCCACTATGTAAGAAGACTTTAGTCTTCCTTATTGACCACCGCTGATGACCGCTCCACCGCATGCACCTTTCCCAACCCTGCCTCCTCTCACTATAGTTTACCGTATCGTGATTAAGTGACTATACATTACATACTTTGTTAGGGCTGTTGAAATGCCTTTTGGGACTGAATCATGTGGTATACTAGAATTACTTTTCCTCTGCTGCATGTAATTTGGGTTTGCTTTCCCTGGAGTTAACAATTATGCCTTTGTGTTTTATGCACACCTTGTTGACTCAACCCCAAACTCTCCACAAATGCCCACATCATCCTGTAAGACATCCATTTGCAGTTGGTGTTACCTATTTCATATTCTTGGGTGACTTTCTCTCATTGCCTTCTAAACTACTCCAGCGTGAAGAGCTGCCCACTGTGCCAGCTGTGAGCTGCCAGCCCTGTTCTCGGTTATCTGATTCATCTTTTTCTGGCTTCTCTTTCCCATATCCCATATCTTTTTCTCTCTGTTTTTAAAAATATTTTGTTTATTCTTTGAAAATATCATACATGTATATAATATAGATTCCCACCATTTATTGAAGCACCAAATTGAGTAGTTTTCTCGAACTATATTGTTTTAGTTTCCTTTCTGCTTCTGTGAAAAATAGCTCGGGGAGGGAAGAGTTTATTTTGCTTTATACTTCCAGCATATAGTCCATCATTAAGAGAAGTCAGGACAGAAACTCAAGTCAGGACCCATGGAAAAATGCCACTTCCTGGCTCCCTCTCCGGCTTTCTCATAGACTCATGCTTAGCTGGCTTTCTCCTATAGGCTAAGACCATCTGCCTAGGGATAGTGCTGCGCACAGTGGGATGAGCCCACCCGCATCAATTAGTTATCAAGATAAGTCCCCACAGATGTGTCCAGAGGTCAATCTGATTGACTCAATCCCTTGAGGTGTCTCCTCTCAGATGACTATACAATTTGTCAGACTGCCAATCAAGGCTAATCACAGGGGAAGTGAAGCATTGAGACCCCCCGCCCCTTATGCCTGAAACCATCCTGTCTTCACCTTCAACTGATGAAGGCTGAAAGCGGTTTTCACTCAAAATTGAAGAGACTGTTCTGGTATTGGCTAATTCAGTTACCTGTGGTGTCATCTTGACTCTTCGATCCTCATTTGAAC